TTATGAGAAAAAAAATCGGAATCGCCCTATGAATACGAAAGTACAGGGGTGGAGTGAACGAAATTGTAACACTCCGTAGTTTGTTGATGTTTCGTCATGCCCTTTTTGATTTATTTTGCTTTTACAATATTGAATCGAAATAAGTGTCGATAACATTTAGATAGCCGTGGACACAACATACGCCATAGAAACAAATCAAAGAAAGAGGTTTTTCGACATCTCTGTCGGTTTCTCTAATCAAAACGGGTTATCCCGCAGAGGAAAAATATGAAATAGTGAGATCGTATTGAGTAAATATTGTAAGAATTTCAGTAGTGCTTGGCTCGTATACTCTAACAGAAAGAATGAAGCTGGGCGACAAGCCGAAGCTTTCGCCATCGCTCACGGCTTAGAGCAGCTTATCAAAGAAACCACACGAATTCCCGATGCCAATAACCATCAAGCTAACATACTTGACTTATTCCTCACTAATAATTCATCACCCTACACCATAGGTGTACGAGCTCCACTTGGCAATTTTGACCACACACTCATCTCCACAACCTGCCCATTTTTCATTCCATCAACTGCTCCGGCACCCCCACGTCTTATATGGCATTACAATTCAGGAGATTGGGACGGTCTCCGCATGTTTTCTCCGAGTTTCCTTGGCATAGAGCATGCTTTGACTCCGAGGACCCTTCACAGTGTGCTGCGGAAATATCCGAGAACATCATGCTCGGAATGGACACATACATACCTCATTCTTCGAAAAGATCATCACCATCGAAACCCTGGTTCAACAAAAACTGTTCTAGAACTGTTGCCTTGAAACAAACAGTCTACCATCGCTGGCGCAAAAACCCTAACCTCGCGACTAGAGCAGAATACGTTGATGCCAGGAATAACTGCAGCCAAATAATAGATGCTTCGAAAGAAGCATACAATGCCAAGATAAGATCGAAACTCATAGATTGTCCCACTGGCTCCCGTTCGTTTTGGTCCCTTGCTAAAGCGGTCGGAAGAAATTTCACTAATAGTTCATTTCCACCACTGTCCAAATCCGACGGCACATTAGCAACAACATCGCATAAGCAACATAAGGCTAACGGTCCTGATGGAATTCCACCCATTATCCTCAAAAAATGTGCACCAGAATTAACACCGATTCTCTGCAAGTTGTTTACCGACTCGTACAGGTCGGATATTTTTCCATCATGCTGGAAGACAGCTAGAGTCCAACCAATCCCCAAAAAAGGGAACAAGAACCTTCCCAACAACTACAGGCCCCTGTTATCAGTTATCTCCAAAGTTATGGAGAAAGCCATCAATATCGAGCTTATCAATTATCAGGAAAGCTTAGGAATCATCAATGATAGACAATACGGCTTTCGCCACCGAAGATCTACTGGAGATCTACTTGCCTACGTCACCCATTTATGGCAAGCTTCATTAGAAAAACACGGGGAATCTCTAGCTGTCGCGTTGGACATATCGAAAGCATTAGACCGTGTTTGGCACGAAGGACTCTTCCACAAACTACCATCATACGGCTTACCACCTCAGCTATGTCATCTCCTATCAATTTCCTTTCAGGCAGATTGCTTCACGTGGTGGTGGACGGATCGTCTGCTACAATTGACGTCAATTCCGGCGTTCCATAAGGATCAATTTTGGCACCAACATTATTCCTTCTCAATATCAATGATCTGTTGGGAGTAACAACTTGCCCCATCCACAGCTCTGCAGATGATATTACCCTCCATACTGCGTTCTCGATATTGTAATGTCTTCCATTAGCAACACTCTTTCATGGGATAATTAGGTCAGATCCATCGCAAAAGCTGCTTCACAAAAACTCGGATTCTTGTTGCGTGCAAAAAGCTACTTTACACCTCAACAGCTCCTCATGATCTACAAATCGCAGATTCGGCCTGTTCTAGAATACTGTTCCCACATATGGGGTTCAGCAACAAAACATACGCTGATGCTCTTAGATTCCATCCAGAAAAGAGCCATTCGCCTGGTGGGTGACGCCACACTCACTCACTCACTCTTTGACATCATTGGACCACCGTAGAAAGGTCGGCGACCTTTCACTTTTTCATGGATACTTCCACGGGAAATGTTCTTCGGAAATCTCTGCTATCATCCCTTCACTAGCAATACCAGTCAGACGAACTAGACGGTTGCCGGAAATTTGATCGAAACCAATCGATCGAAAAACAAATGATCGAAAAACATTTCATCGAAAATCAATCGACAAAAAAAAACAAATGATCGAAAAATCATTCGATCGAAAATCATTCGATCGAAAAATCAATGAATCGAAATTGCAATTGATCGAACTACATTTTGATCGAATGATTCGCATCCCTTAGTATAGCGCTCAACATAACATGTCAGAATTGAAGTCGCAGTTATACTGTCAAAAAGTTACAGCTAATATAAAAAATGTCTTTCCTTAAGAGTCAATTAGGAAAAAAAAAACTGATGTTGGATGGATATTTCTATATAAGAGAATACCAGCGCGATGATACGTCATATTGGAAATGTGAGGAATACAAGAGTTCATCTTGTAAAGCGAGAATAATAGCAAAGCATGGAAATTTTGTGAAAAGAAGGGACCATACCCATACTGGAAGATCCGATAGATTGGAGACAAGGAAAGCTCTGCAAGAAATAAGAGAGATGGCCTCTACATCGAAGGAAGCACCAAAAACAATCATCTCGCATGCTTCCAGCCAGTTGAGTGAAAAATCATGCGCCCTCTTGCCTTCCATTGAAACCATGAAAAGAACAATAAGGAATATCAGGAAGAAAGAAGACATTTCGCCACCATCACCCAATTCCTTATCCGAATTGATAATTCCTGCAGAATATAAGCTCACTGATAAGGGGAAACAGTTCTTAGCTCACGATTCTGGAAACGATGAAGACCGAATTTTGATATTTGCCACTCCAAAAAATTTACAGATATTAGCAGAATCACAAATATGGTTAATGGATGGTACTTTTCAGACTGTTCCACCTTTATTTTACCAGTTATATTCAATACACGCTGAATTAGATGGCACTTATATACCATGCGTTTATGCTCTTTTACCAAGTAAATCGCAGAAAATATATATAAAAATGTTACATGTGATAAAAGATTTGGTTATCAATCCAAAGGTATTATCAATCATGACACTTCGAAAAATCTATCGAAAATGCCATAAGTCTAGTTTTTCCGACGGTTAGTCATAAGGGATGTTACTTCCATTTCAGCCAATGCTTATATAAAAAACTCCAGTCACTTGGACTGAAAAGCAAATATGATACGGATGCAGAATTTTCATCGGTCATGAAGTTATTCTACTCAGCTCAACAAATCCAAGAAGCCACTTTTTGCACCAACAATGTGGAACTGTTTCGATAGTACAAAATCGAAGAATATCCCTCTGACAAATAATTCTATCGAGGGATGGCATTCAGGGTTCCTTAAACAGATGAATGCTAGGAAACCATCATTCTGGAATTTCGTTGAAGGGCTGAAGAAAGAACAATCCTTTACTGAACTGAAAATTGTGAAACTGGCTACTGGGGATCTTGCAGCAAAGAAAAAGAAATACAAGGACCTCAAATGTCGCTTGAAAAGGATTTCAGAACATTTTCAATTAGATTGCGAATATTGCGATGATGACGAATTATTGAATTTCGTGAAGTTTGTGTCATATATGTTGTAGTGCATGTGATTATTCATTATTTCAATACTTATTGTTTCCAATTAAACACTTTCTTTTCCTAATTGACTCTTAAGGAAATACATTTTTTATATTAGCTGTAACTTTTTGACAGTATAACTGTGACTCCAATTAAACACTTTCGATCAAAATGTAGTTCGATCAATTGCAATTTCGATTCATTGATTTTTCGATCGAATGATTTTCGATCGAATGATTTTTCGATCATTTGTTTTTTCGGTCGATTGATTTTCGATCAAATGTTTTTCGTTGTCAACCTCGAAAGATGTCGAACAGCACTTTATCAAAACTCCTTCATCCATAGAACGGCTAGGATCTGGAATTCGTTGCCTGAGGAAGTATTCCCAACAACATATAATCTCCAGAAAATCAAAAAAAAAATGCCAATACCTACCTCCTGTCCCTATCCTCCCTAGAAACGCACGATGTTCTTTGAACATTATAGGGATTTCCTTTCGTGCGCTCCAAGAGATAAATAAAAATTTAGTCGAAAACTGCTAAGAAAACATTAGCAAAGTATATATTCGTGAGAAGAAGCAACATACCTTTCACTAGAGTTGAAAATATACACAGTGTTTCATAAAAATAAGTTGATTTGGACTATTTTCCTCATTTTGCAATCCGAATCTGTTTGATTAAGAAGTACCAAAAGATAGTATAGTACAGATAAAACCCTACAACAACTTTCATATTTGAAGTTTTTTTTTCCACCTCGTGAAGTTGAAGCTGTACGTGGATGACTGATAATATTGACGAGTGAGCCCTTTTGTTTCGCAAAATTTTCTGAAACAACCCATACTTTTTAACCATTTTGAAAAAAAAAACATAAAATAGTGTTGATAATGCTGAAAATCAATGATTAACAATGATACAAGGGATGTTTGTCATACGCCAACTTGAAAAATAAATGGATAAGTATGTGTAATCATACAAGCCTTCATCCTGTCATATAGCTATCAACTTTTTTTCAACATATTTCCATGTTCTAACATGCAAGCTCCAAGAATATGATGATATAATGAAAAGAGTGGGACTTAACGAAGTTCCAGCGAATTTCAAAGCTTGGCCAGGTTCAGGTGTATCCGTCATTTTCTCATTCGAACTTATTTTGTGATTATTACTCAACCCAATCTGACATGCATTGACCGTTTTTTTTGTGTATGGCGAATGTAACACTTGTATTTCAGATAGTTGGTCAAGAAATTCTTATGGAAAACTTGCCTGAAATTTTCAGATGGAGCACTTCAATCAGGAGTATCGGAATAATGTTCTAACCTGCAGTGTGTACCAGAAGCCAAAAGTCAGTGTGCTACTTGATTCGTCGATAGGATACAGCCCAGGCAAACTAGAACATTTTAGTATCGAGTTCAGCAACGTGAAGCTGATTCTTTCTTCTCCTTCATTTCCTGAATTCAAATTGTCAATGAATATTCTCGAGTGAGAGTCTCCAATTGCTATTATCAATCCGTATAAGGTGGCAATTATATCCTGAAAATCAAAACACATTAAGCAATACAATGTGTCCCAAATTCGATCCTCACCATTGGAATCTCAGTAACTATGACAGATAAAGAAACGGTTGAATTAGCAAAGTTGTAGCAAATTTCATGTTGAATCAGAATCTATCAGGAAATCCAGGCTAGTTTCAGTCATTCTTGAGTTATTTGAGAAAAAATGAAATCTTGTATTTTTGTTTTTCTCGAATATCTCGGAAACTATTGATTTTATGAAAAAATGACTTCAACATTCTCATAGCACTTTTTGGTGTTCTTTTCAATGGTTTTGTCAAATTTCCATCAAAATGTCAAATTTCTGAGATATCACCTACAACTTCGGTTTTTCTCATGGACGCCATATTGGATTTTCACAGATTTGAAATCAGCAAAAAACTTCCATTCTAGTGATGTATCACAGTCACAGTTTTATCTTATTAGGAGTACTGATTTCCAATTAGTAGGCTTGGAGCCAAGTGACATTTCTGTAAACGTCAAGAGAAAATACAAGTTAATTATTTCGGGGCAAACAATGCCGTTCACAAAAACCAGTGACAGTACAAGGGTTCAGACCTGGTGATAATGAACGTCGTCTCGAGTTTTGTCACTGGTTCGTCAACCAGTGTGAAAGAATCGATATCGATATCTCGAAAATCAATTTGGTGCTGAATTAATTACTACTCATGGACCTGTTCGATGGCCTCCAAGGTCGCCTGATTGTACGCCTCTCGATTTTTACCTGTGGGGCTACGCCAAAAATAAAATTTCTGAAGAGCCAATTCAAGATATTGATGATCTACGAGAGAGTGATGGACACATTCAAGCATATCAACAGTGTTCATCTGAGAAAAGCAGCGAATCTTGTTTGCTTGCGAATAGTATTTGTATTATCCACCTGTTGAGTTATGCAAGAATAGAACACATATTCCATAATCTAAGGTAAAAGTCATGGTGGAGTGAAGTATAGTAACTAATAACACAACATAATGAATTGTTACAGAATTCATAGCCTACTGGACATAAAAACGAAAATTGGAAATCAGTACCCCAAATAAAATAATAATGTGATTGTGATACATCACTATACCTTTTCAACTTCAATTTCGGAATCGGTGAGTTATATTTCGGAAAAAGTAATCTCGATTTCAGAATTGGTTAGTTCGATTTCAGAAATGGTAAACTCAATTTCAGAATCGGTGAGATGAATTTCAGAAAAAGTCCATTCAATTTCAGAAATGGTAAGTTGTATTTCAGAATTATTATTGGTATGTTCAGTTTCAGAAGATGAAATCCTTTTATATGTTTGAAATGATTTTAATTGCAAAAGAGAGGATTGTTTACAGTGGATGAACGGTGTTTGAGAGCCCTATGTTGAATCAGATTGAACATATATGGGGTGCCTTCAAGTCAGAAGTGAAGAGCTTCTTGCAAGAGCATCGCCAAATGGTCATAGCTGGGGATCCAAACAGCTTGCTCAACCAGATAGAATTCAGACTGCGATGTCTTGAGGAATGTGCAGATCATTCAATGAAAATGATAACACCTCAAATGTGTTTGCATTCTCATAATCATGTGCAACGCTATTATTTTCCAGCGATTCGAATGGAAGGCATCTGTGGATTAAATTGAGATTATAATCATGTTATTGAATTGTTTTTGACAATTTGAATATTGTAAATATGGTTTGTTAATCTCACATACAATTGGAAACATTTCGAACAAATATAAGGATTTTTTTTCTGAAATTGAACCTACCAATTCTGAAATACAACTTACCATTTCTGAAATTGAATGGACTTTTTCTGAAATTCATCTCACCGATTCTGAAATTGAGTTTACCATTTCTGAAATCGAACTAACCAATTCTGAAATCGAAATTACTTTTTCCGAAATTGAAGTTGAAAAGGTATAGAAAGGAAATTTTAGGCTGATTTCAAATCTGTCGAAATCCAATATGGCGTCCATGAGAAAAATCGAAGTTGTAGGTGAAATCTCACAAATTTGACATTTTGATGGATATTCGAACAAAACAAAAATACAAGATTTCAGTTTTTCTCAAATAACTCAAGAATGACTAAAGCTAGCGCGCATTTCTCAATAGATTCTGATTCAACATTGAATTTGCTACAACTTTGCCAATTTAACCGTTTCTCTATCTCTCATAGTTACTGAGATCCCAATGGTGAGGATCGAATTTGGGACACACTGTATATGCTACATACATACATAATAGAGTTAATACAAATACAGAGGTTGACTTGACGTAAAAAACTCCAGTATTATTGAACGACAATCACAGAGTAGAACATACATAATCTGAGGAATCTCGATCACAAATTAGCAAACTTTACTCGACACGGTTAAATATTTGAAACGTTCATTCTACTCTTCACTTGAAGCAGGACACACTGAAATATGGCTTAGGAGTGTAGTAATGTAGAGATACATTTGTCGTGAGAGTGCTCTTTCTAGTGAAGAGCAAACAGTACGGCATCATCACAAACAGTCGAATTTTTTGCTCCGCGTATCACGGGTTTTAAGCATATATTTACCAAGTGTTCGAGGAATCATATTCTGGTAATACAAATGAAATAAATTGTGGGGAAAAAATTGGGAAATTATTATAGCATAAGTTACGAATTTCGGTACTATAGAATCTTTTACAAATTGAATTACATCGTGTTCAAAGTGACTTTAAGATATTTTGATATGCATGCGTTTTTTATTATACTATTGTTATCTTTGGATTTGCTGGTGAGTGTAATACAAAGTTGTTACGTAATATAACCATAATATAACATAATTCAGTTCTTCTCTAAATTCACAGGAGATTCAGATATAGGCATACCTACTGAAGAATCTTGTTCGAAATAATTCGAGTGAATTGTATTGTTTTCGTCATCTTGGTTTGGTTGGTTGTCCATGTGTTCGGTTTCGTTTTCGTCATGGTTGACTTGCATTGAACTCCTATCAGTATTGTTCGTATTATCGATTTCTGGCCATAGAATTACTAAATACTGTCTGTAGAATTACTATTGGTGAGTCTGGGGGTTGTAATAAGGCATTATTTTTTCAGGGGTTTTTAGTTCGTGACACTCGGTCTCCACGATTTGGTTATTCGTGTTTGATTTTCTGAATGTATAAATGATTGTATAATCAAGCTCTTCTAGTTTAATTCTCCAGCGAAGAAGCGAATTTGGATCTTTGGGTGAGAAGAGTCATTTGAGTGGTTGGTGGTAATTGATAATATTGCATTTTCTCCCGAATAAGGACGATAATATTTCGTAGCACATATAAAGGCAAGCAGTTCTTTCTCGATAACAAAATAATTTCGTTCGTTGACGAATATTTCTAAAACAGCTGAACTGAATACCATCAATACCCAATTTATTTCTGAAATCAGAAAAAACAGGATCTCAAACATTATCGAAAAATATATAGGGTTTTCCATTGAAAATAACGAAGTTGATACCAATTTCTTGTATTAGCGATATTCTTTTGATTCATTTCTTATAACCATCTAGAGGCTTAGCAGGAAGCGTACAACTTTTGCATTTGAAAATGTTCATCTTTCCTGTAGAAGCTGTTTAGATGAACGGAATGACCCTGTACCATTCGATAGGACATCACTAACTTCAAAAATCAGGGTGCTTCAAAATATGCTCGTTTATGAGAAGAGTCTTACAAGTGTCAAAACGCGATAGAAACTCTTTATTATGTTTATCTACTCACTGCATCGAAAGTAAGAGTTTGATCCCTCATTTGAGGACACAAACCTGTCAATTCACTCCCACGGGAGGAAAAAAGTATCACCTCCCATGGTGAACACGTATTGGAAATGCCTAATCACTTATATCTTGCAGCAGACCATGATTTCAATATAAGTAGTGAAAATGACATGCTCCTAGGTGCAGATGCTTTATGGTCCACACTTTGTCTTGGTCAATTGTTTCACAGTAAATACCAAAAGTTCGGAAGATGATCAAATCGAAAAGTTTTGGCTTATTGAGGAAACAAAAAATCTAATTCCAGTTTTATCCAAGGCAGAAAAGTATAGTGAAGATAATTTCGAAAACACCACAGAACGCGATGAAATTGGACATTTCATTGTGAAAATTCAATTTTAAAACACTGTAACAGAATTAGTTGATTCCAAGAATGATTTTTTTTGTATGTTCTGGTTCCCACGGAAAGGGATATCCTGTAATGTTCAGAGAACATCGTGAGAACCAAGGGAAATAAGGTAGGAATTGGTGTTCTTTTTGAGTTTCTGGAGGTTATATGCCTCTGGGAACACCTCCCTTGGCAATGTGTTCCAGAGCCTCGCTGTTCGTTGGATGAACGAGTCTCAACTCGGGTTAATCTCGCGGGGACTGCCAAGGGAGGAACAATTGTTGATATTCCAGAAGAGCATCGTCCAAGAAAATATCTATAAAATAGAGGCCTCAAGAAGATTCCTTAGAACGCAAATTGAATGATAATCAGAAATATATGTCAAGTTTATGGTAGAATATGAGGGATTAAATCATATATAGGATATAAATGATATTGTTGATCAGAATGCAACTTTCTGCTTGCCTTATCACGCTCTGATGAATGAAACTAGTATAACTACAAAATGCCGCGTAGTTTTCGATGGATCTGATAAAACCGATTTCAGGTAATAATTAAGGAAAATCAACAACGATCTCATTGATATTCTAGCGTGAAAATGAAAACAAACAATTAAAATAATGTCAGTTAAGTACAGTAACCTACGGCACTGCGTCAGCCCCCCTTACCTAGCAGTTAGATGTTTGATGTTTCCCTCCGCTAGTGGAATTATTAAAAACTGTTCTAATATTGATGATTTATCAGCAGGAAGTGATTCTGTTGAGGAAATTCTAAAAATCCAACATGATGTTTCAGAAATATTAAAGAGCGCTAGATTTGAACTCCGTAAATGGCTCTGTAATGAAAAGAATATTCAATCCAAGATTCAAATTGACGAATGGTTGGATATGGGCATTCTTTATGTAGAATATGAAAATAATAAAACAGGGATTTACTGGAATTCTCATTCTGACTTCATTCAATATTATATACATGACAGAAGTACGTATTTCAGGTCAAGTCAGCAAACGGTGAGAACTATAAAAAGTATGTCAAATCTTTGTCAGGGCTTGTAATCATCGTTGCAAAATTAATCATCCTAGAATTGTGGAAACAAAAAATACCTTCGGACGATGTAATGCCGGACCATTTATTAAAGCAGTGGGTTAACTCTTACAAAGAATTATATTGTCATGAAAGCGAGTGTAACACCCAGTGTAATCAAATTTATAATCCATTTACCTTGAACGATTGAACACCCAAATATTATTAAAAGAATACAATAATTTGATCAACATCACGTATGGGAAATTAAAAAACTCATCAGGTATTGGGATAGAAAGATTTGAGAGGTAGGCGGGTAGTGAAGGTGCCCAAGAGAGTGTTCGGCCGTTTGGGGGTCCCTGGCCAAGGGCATGGTCTTAGTTGTAGTCGAGAAGATAGATGTATCTATAAAAGTAAGTAGAATTGTAAACTAAGGAATATGTGAATCCCACTAGAGAGATTTGATCATTAATTAAAATAAATTGTCACTGGCCTTTCTATGGAAATTAGATCATTTATTGACACACCCTACCTAGTCAGTCGTGAAACGAACCCCCTTTCACGACAAGTGGTGGAGGCGCCGCTTGGCTTTCGAGAGGTGCGGGGCATAAAGAATGAGTAGCGTAGAAAATCAAGTTAAAAGGAAAAAAACAAAACATTGTATTTGAAAACCGCAATCATCAATAATTATCACGAACTTGACCTATATATATAATTTATTTATGTTACCATATGCTGGTATCGAATGTCTCGGTACAGGCTAGGTAGGTTGTTGACGCTGCTACTTTTATAATGAATAAATCTCGTCTACGAAAACTGCAATAACATTATTGAAAATTTTCATATTGTGCAAATTTTGAAGGAGAAAAGAGTAATGGTATTGTATAAAGAATATTGGAATGGCTGGAAATAATGCAATTGCAGAAAGTGGATATCTAATGAATATTTCTTGCAGGGATTCTATTATTATAGTCTACTGAGCGTTAATATATTCATTTCATTACGGCCTGGTAAGCAAATTTGGTATTCTGTGAATAGTTTTTTCCGGGATTCATAAGTGAGTTAATGAAAATTTCGCATTGTCTTCCATACTCATATCGAAAGTTATGGAGGTAACGTTGAGTGAAGCCATGGTTCAAAAAAGAACCCCCGCTCTACCCAACTTTGAGGACCCAGGAAATTTTGATCCCATAAAGGGTTCTTCTAAAGATTTTATTAGACATCATGAAAAATGTTCGGAAAAAAATTCTTGGACGGATAGTTTGAAAATTGTATATTTTGCGGCATTTCTTACGGGAGCAGCCTATATATGGTATGACTTGTATAGAAAAATTTCCCAAAATGCGGAAAAAACATGGGCTGAGATAAAAGCAGATTTCATCAGAGAATTTGAGTCAGAAGATGCTTGGAAATTCAGAGAATTACGATTGAAAGAGAGAAAACAAAAGGAAACCGAAATCTTAAGAGAATATTTCTACGATTTGATAGTTTTGGCCAACGATTTTGATTCTGAGATGAGCGCAGAAAGATTTTCCATTTATTTCGAACAGGGTTTACTAGAAAAACATCGCGCAAATTACATTCTCATGAAAAACTCCATAATGACAATGGAAAGATTAAAGAAAATTGTTTTCACATTAGAGGATATAGAAAATCACAGTGAACTTATATTGAGAAGGGACCAAGCCGAGATAAACCATCGCTGCAACACTTTTGAAGATAGTAGTAATTTTCATAATAAAAATCATTTCAGAAATAATTCACAAAATTCGAGTTTGAGCTTATATACCAACCCAAGTACATTTTCGACAAATCATAATACGTTGTAGTATGTAAGATAATATAGGGTGATATTATATTGTAGGAATACTCTGTATAATAGGTTAAGCGAGGACAACGCACCGTGTGGGTTGTTAACACTGTTGTTATCAAGACGCACGGTGTATTCATGATATTAGGTTGTTTAGGTTTAGGGTACGTTCCTATGATTTATATATATATACCTGGTACCACCAATAAAGAGAAGATTGATTCTAACTTGACTTTGAGTTGATTACTAGAATGTCTGTCACCATACATTCACAACCCAGTTATTAACCCTGGAATAGGAATGATCATTCATCCTATTACATGGCGATCCTGCCAGTCGTTGTACTGTTAAAATTTACACGATTGGTATACCTAAATACTGGATATGGGGAACCAGCAAGCAAAGGAAAACTTCGTGATTGGCCAAGCAGGAATCAACGGAGGTGCCATCAATAATACTGCAGCCGAAGGAAGTCAACAGAAATACACCATATTCGAGGTACTGGCCGTAGTAGTTGGTTGCTTAGTTCTGGTAGCAATCATCCTGTATATCCGAAGACGAGCGAAGAAAGCACTAGAGAGGAAGATTAGGAGAGAACTTTCCAGGAGCCAGGAGACTGTGTGAAGCCGAGAGAAATTGAACTTCAACCCATAGATGAGCATCGAGTTGGAGTTGCAGCAGGTTCGAGGAGGCGCAGAGAGGACCGCAGGATTAATATGTATAAGGTAGATAAGTTAATTAGTGTTAGGTAGTACAAATGATAGAATTTAGGCATATTTATGAGGAAATTAGGGTTTTTAGACGTAATTTAACAAAAGATAATTCTCAGAGGCGAGGTAATTTGCAATTAGTTGATCAGAAACGTTCAGAATTGAGGGAAATAGAAGACAATTTCAATAAAATTAAGGAGTTGTTTAATAGTAAAAGTGAAAAAACTTTAGAAGAAACGGCACAAGTCAAAAGTTATGCTAAAGAAATAAATAGTTTGATTTCTGAAGCACATTCTATTTTAAA